ATGCATCCTCTTCAAGAACGCAAATTAAGTTATCTGAGACCGCGGATGTGATCATGTGTGCCAGTTATGATCTCTTTGTGGCACGACATCTTCGCGACCGTGATCTTGGTGTCTTGGCTGTGAGCCTGTGACCTTCCATTTTTTTCCTTCCTTCCATAGTTGTATTTGGATTCTTTGACAATAGCACTCAAATCTTAAAATTTCCCCATAAAGATCATGAGCATGCAATAGGAAGCAATTCTAGGCTAACTCAAAGTTCAAATGGTATTTGGATGCATGAATCCTCATGAAAACACCAAAGAAATGAGTGCTAATAACACCATTTTGGATGTTATCAGTGGTTTCATGCGTTGAATTATCGTACTTAGTGTTAGTCCTGAATTTCTTGATGGTTATAGTTTGAATGTTTGACTAGTGTGATGTATCAAAATGAAGTGTTAGTCCTTAGTTTCTTGATGTATCATGGTTCGAATGTTTGACTAGTCAATGAAAGGGTATGTTTGTATGTGAAATTCAATTCCAAGGTTCCACCCAACAAAATTCAATTCCAAGGTATAGGTCAGAATGGACAATGCTCGCTTCTGTTCTTTACCACAACCAAACTTCAAATATAAAAGTAAAGTGGGTTTTACCTTTTCGAAGTTTACATGTGAGGCAACGATGAAGTGATGAGAAAATGAGAGTAGCTTACCTTAAGGAGGCTCGTACCCGACTGAATAAAGGCAACATGCAAACTTCTCAAGACTAGTTCATAAAGGATTAATACTTTCGATCTCATGCCATGTTTGAGTGTGATCCTTTTTTTTTCAAGGCAAGCCCAGAGGGTATGGGACAAAGACGCAAATCAGTTACAAGGAGGACTCCATAAAAGGACGTTAATTCGTAAGCAAGCGGGTTCCTGATGTGAGAGCCTGATTTGCCACTACATGGGCAGCTTTGTTAAAGTTCCGAGGAGCAAAACGAAAAGAAACTTACTAAAAAAAAAGAGAAAAAGTAGTGAACTTCCTCCATGATAGCCCGTTCTCGTGAGTGCGAAGTGTTCTTTGACAAAGCGTGCTTCATGAACAGTTGAGCATCTCCACAAAATGCAACCACCAAAAAATTATGAGTTAAGCACCATCCCATAGCATCCCTAAGAGCTAGAACCTCAGCAATGTAAGCATATGAAATTCCTTCATACCATTTAGCAAAAGCAAAGGATAACGTAGCATCAATTAGGAAACCAGCAAATCCGATTGAGCCTCCTTGGTTTTTCTTCATAGCTTTGTCAAATCTTACCAGGACACTATTATTAGGGAACATAGTAGTTCTTCTTACCAACACAAAAAAAATATAGGTTTGCGCCTTGCGCCTGCCTATCTCCTTTCACTTGAGAACATTACATTCAGGATTTGCCAAATAAGTTGAGCATGAAAATGTAATATTGAGATGACTATTGTCAATTGTGATCTGACTCCGATGATTGACATCGAGGGGAGAGGTTAAGGGCTTCAAGTTGAACATTTTTAATTACATGGTTGGTTGAGTACAAGCGAACGTCTAAGTGTGGGGATGTGATAATACTTAAAGTGGGTGTTATTAGCCTTCCTAATCTAGGTGTTTCCATGTCTTAATTATGCAAGAAAGAGCACTAAACCTCGCATGTTAGCATATATTTGTTTCCTAGCATTGAATTGTCTCGGTGAAATTGTGTTGGGTTTATGTCATTTGGGAAGGAAATAGGGAATCAAGTGTAAGATAAATAGGAGGAGAGTTTGCATGCAAAACAGAGGAGATCACAATGGTGGTTCTTGATCATCAAGTTCACGGGACTTTCAATAGTTCACGACCAGGAAATTTATCCCAGGTTGTGAACCCGGCACCCAAGAGTCAAAGAAGCTCAGAGGGTTCTGTTAAGAGACTCACGGGCTTTCGTCTGAGAGCTTCAAGGTCACGAGATATAGGATGTTCATAGTCATGAACTTTTCCAAAAACGATTGTGAACTTGTCTGAATTCTGAATTCTCCGTATTTATAAATAGAGCCAGGTCCCCAAAGAGATAGAAGAGTATATTTTTCGGAACAAAAGTAAGAGAAGAAAGCATCTAATTTTCTTGGAAAGAAAAGAACAAGAGAAAGAAGAGGAGCTCTGGATTGCAGCTGATTTGGATAGATTATATCCCTAATTATGGAGATCGTCAAAATTAATATATAAAAGCCTAGCATGAGAGTTACTTTTCATTAGTAGCTCTCATACTCCTCCAAGTGCAAGTGGAAAAGTTCCAAATCCTTCTTTTACCCCACTCTCCATTCTACAACCTTTGTCGCTAGATTTTCGTCTATAGCTTTTTGCACAAGTCATCGCCTTTTCCCACCACTTTGCAGCTCATCTCGAAATAATGTCGGTCAAATCCTAAGTTGTTCCCCACCATCGTTTCCCAAGCCGCTACCACCAATTTTGTATAAGGACCGAGTTTCATCCTCTTTAGTGTTTTTTCTTTTCTTTTTTCTTTTTGTTGAGAATGATCACAATTGAACCCAAACACATGTGAATCCTAAGTTGTTCCCCATCATCGTTTTCCAATGCCGCTACCCTGAGTTTTGTAACGAGACCGAGTTTCATTCTCTTTAGTGTTTTTTTCTTTCTCTTTTTCCTTTTTTGTTGAGCATGATCACAATTGAAGCCAAACACATGAGTATCCTAACTTGAACCCAAACAGATGGGTGTTCGCTAGGTTTACATATGTTGTCCATTGTGTTTCCCATAACATTTATTGCCTACTAGGATTTTCAGCTCCCTATTGCAGCAACTATCCAATTTTCGCACCATTTCACGACCCAACTCAAAATACTGTTAGCAGAATCCTGAGTTGTCCTCTTCCACAGTTTGCCATGGCCGCAACCAAAGATCCATACCAGATATGCTCTGTCCAATCCTCAACATCGCTCACCAATTCACAACCTTCTCAAAACACAGTCAACGAAATCCTAAGTTGTCCCACTACAACAAGACCCATCTATAGCAGCAAAGGAAATTTGACTCTATATGTCACTTATTTGCCTCTATACATATTTAGAGGCATATGACATTTTTGCCTCAAATACTCTAGTGACTATAGCCCTCTAGAGGCATATATAGCGACATATATTATTTGCTGTTAATTTCTATAATTGTTTTTTAAACATTATATAAAAGTTCAAAATTAATATCCGTAAATGTATTGTAAAAAATAATCGTAAATAAAACCCTACGAGTTACCATATATACCCAGAAGAACGGATACACAATACAAGTATACAAAAATAAAAGTTACTTTTCTACTCAATAAATAAAAGCCAAATGAGAAAACTTGAAGCCTCATTTCAAATTTCCTGCATCCAGAGTGAAAGTAGGAAGGACATTTTGGTCTTCACAATTATTTTTTTTAATTCATTAAAATGACACTTACTAGGATTCGAACCATGACCACTTTAAAGAAAAGCAAAGATCATAACCAATCACACTAAGTACAGTTGTTGTATCTTTTTAAATTAAATACATATAATCGCAGAGAGGAAAAAACCCTTCCCCCATTTCAAATTCCCTACTCTAGGAGCGTTTGTAGGAAGGGTAGAATAGGGAGTGTCAATTTTTTTCTTTTTCCTCTGTGGAACGGGCCAACTTACCGTACACATGCGGATTTAAACGAGTCCATGAGTGTCAATTTTTTTCTTTAAGTCCTTTTATTTCTCCGTGGTGGTAAAATATATATGAAAAGACAAAAACAATACTCCGTTTATTGATAAAAAGAAAAAAAATTAACAATAAACTAATGCATGGTATCTAATGGGCTAACCGCTAATCATAAAATAAAAGAGTTGAACGAGCCTGACCTTCACGGGATTTGCCCATCAAGTAAAACAAATGAACATCATGGGTTTGTCATTCTAAAACAAGCTATTTTCTCTAGCATAATATATATTATACTATTATTTTATATCTTAGTGGCTAAAATATAATGTATTTTAAAGTTATTCAATGGTTCAACCTCGACCAACCCAATTAGTCCAATTTTTATCATTTCAAATATATATTATGTAATTATTTGATATCATAATGATTAAATTATAGTGTATATTATAGAGAATCGTTTGGTATTTGTTAGTAAAAAACTAAACAGAAAGATCTATTTGGTTATTTTTAACATTAAAACGATCCCAAACATTTTCAGTTTCCTTTCGAAATTCTATAGTTTTATTCCCGAATCAGTGATGTGCAAATGGCGAATTGCAGTCATCTCTTTTCTTTCATTATTTTTTATTTTCAAATAGAAAGTTTAAATGTAAAGAATAATTAGAGTTTGGCATGGGTCGGTCAAACATGTTGAATTTCAAGTTTTGGCCTGTTTTGATCAAGTCTAATTGATAATCGCATGGTTCCCTGATACCCGATAAAAATATCAATCCAAACCAGTTTGGCAGGTGAGTCCGTGTTTACCACCATTTCTAGGGATAGAGGAACGGTGGTTTCTATCCCAAATCGTGTTGTTCATTCTTGATTTCTTTAAATTTTATCATGGCTTGGTAAAAAATCAGAAAGCACAATGATGACAAGATGAAAGTTTTATAAAGCAAATTAATCGGCCAACGGGCCGAGTAAAAGCTAGCAACGATTGTGAGATGCTCATTTCCCAAAAACCGGCGGGATATGCGATATTTTATTCGATTTTCTGGAATTCGGTTTCTATAAAACTTACTCCCCCTCATCATATTACCAGAAATAATATTGTTTCACAAGGTAACGTGTACTTGATTTTGGTTCATAAGGCTGATTTTTGATTTGTTGCATCATTCATGTCTCTTTTCTACTAAAATTCACTATTTTTATTACGTGTTTCCTAAAAAAAAACTACACAACAATAAGCTATACACCCCATTACATTATCAAATTTCATACCTCACCTTCCTCCGGCCAAATGGCGGTGACCCAACTATTATATAATACAACTTACTGTACAAAAATTATAGGAGTACAATAAGCATTCAGTACAAAAGAAAGAGATAACCAGAATTCCATATTAAAAATGGACTACTGTACAAAAAATTCACATAATGCTGAAGGTCGAACTGTATCCGGGAAGCCATTTCAGTTTGGAGCTTGCTCTGGAGCGTCTCGACACCGGCCACGATGGCCTCCGTGTACTTCTCCTCTTGTTCCATCTGCACGTTGATGTACAGCCGGACCACGACGTCGCTTAGCCTAGACATCCCACAGTGGTTCTGGCAACGCCGGATGAGTCGGCTGCCTCAGATAAAAGCAGGGGCGGACCCGGGGTTTAGGGTGTCCCGCACACCCTAAATTTTGAAAAAACAATTATCTAACCCCCGGTGCTAATTTATGTATGGACAAAAAAAATATATAATTGATAGTGAGTGACACCCCTTAAATTTGAAAAAAATAATTATCCTATTGTCATTTGTGTATAGAAATATAAGTGGTAGGTTGGATAATTCAAATCTAGAATACTATTATTATTAATAAACTTAATTTCCGTTGAGCTAAACTCATTTGTTGTTCGATTTTGAACAATGTGTAATAGTAAAATGACATTTCCTATCTCTAATTATTTTAAAAAACTAACAATGAAACTAATTTCAAACTATCCCTTAATTTGTATTGATTTTATGATTGTACGGCAAGTGTTGAAAGAGTCTTTCAGCTTTGGGTTATATCAAGAACAAGTTTACAAATCGAATATGCGATAAGTTCGTGAATGATTGTCTAGTAGTGTATATAGAGACAATTTTTTTAACACTATAAACACCAAGTGTATTCTACAATTATTTTCGAATATGAAAACAAATCATGGACTTTTTTAACCTGTACGAGTAAGGTATTATCATATTTATAATTTTATTTTTATTAATTATTTTTATTAAATTTATTTTTTAAGAGAGGACACCCCTATGAAAAATTTCTGGGTCCGCCACTGAATAAAAGTTAGATCAATTTGTCAAAAATCTGAGATTTACGCAAACAACAACCTGATCCACCTTAAAGGAGTAGATCTATTTACAAAAAATCCCAGATCTACTTGGACAGAAACCTGCTTCACCTTAAAGGGGTAGATCTACTCTCACCGTCGTTTTTTGCTGCCATCGAAAGCCGCCGCAACCACGTTAGACCATGGCCTTCCTGAGCATTGCCTGTTGAGATTTTTATTGGTGTGAATGGAAATAAAAAGGGGAAAGTTTCAAGAGAGTCTCTTGAAGTACCATGTTGGTAAGATGTGGGAAGGCACGGCCTCGAATTCGATCGATTTGATGTAATATGTGGTTAATCGGTTAAATTGGTTTGTGTACCAAACGGACCAAACCAAACCGAGTTGAACCAAATCGAACCAAACCGGTCCAACTACCATGGGCCGAACCGATGCAATGGTTCATTATTTCAAACATGAACCAATGTGTTGGTTGGGGTGTAACCACCCATATGAAGAGTCGCCTCCCTTCGTACGCACCCCTTCATTTTCTATAAATAGCACCTAACCCCCCTCTGGTATTGAAAAGAGATTTTTTCCGATACGAAAATTCTGCCAAAATCCAAAACTAGTTTTTTGCATTCTTTTCAAAGAGAAAATAGAGTCAAGTGTGGTTCTCGCCGGTTCGCTGCGTTCGATGGTTTCAGAGGTTTGAGGTACCGCTACGCCGGAAAAGGTACGTCCTTTCTATCCTGTGAGGAATCATTCCATAACCTTGGGTACTTGAGGGGAATAAGATTCTTTAAGGAGAGGTAGTAAATTCTATCGGCTAGGACGCTTGCATGTGTCTTTGCATGTTTTCTTAATCTTATGTGCTTGCTTGTGTTGCAAGAAAATAGTATACGTGAACAATTTCCCCAACAATCTTAAAGAATCTTATATTTGTTATAACGTGTACTGTTTGGTGTTTGCTTCACAAAGTTGGTGTAGGACCCTATTAGTTCATCAATCTGTCGATTGATTAAGTGGTAAAAGTGTAATTGGAACACTCGGTTCCTTTTTGCATAAAGGAAATTGGGATATATATACTTGTTGAATATGTTCTGTTTCTTACATTGATTATGCATGTAATAGAGCTCTGTTCTATATTTGTTCATTACTTGCATTGGTAATATAATTGGTGTACGTGCAATTATATGTCCTTGGTGTTCCGTGTTGTTAATATGCTCGGTATATATGTTCTTGGTTCCTACAATGGTTATATGTGTTTCAGAGATTGAATCCTTATATATATTATATTGTCTATAAGCATGGTTATATGTATATTTATTGGAAAGAAGGAAAGGAACGTAGTTCCTGTACTTGCAGATGAAGGCATTTTTTGAAAGCCACCATCCAATTTTTTTGTTGGTTGTGATCTCGGTACTGTTTTGAATTTCGGGACAGTTGCATGATTAATTGGATTGGAAGGACCTCTCGGTTCCTATCCAGAATAGATAAAGCAATCTTTATCTGATATATTAGGTTGCTGTGTATATATGTTTGGCAGTTAAAGGAAAAACCTGGAACAATTAAGTTCTCATGGTTAATTGGATGACTCTGTGATCATCATTGATGTACATATATGTGCATCGTACCTGACCACATATATATACGTTTGATATAATTGGTTATTATAACCAATTATTGGTGCAAGTATGAAAATTGGAATTTTAGTTTATTCCTAGTTTGTGGTCAATGATCAAAACTGGTGAACTAATCCGGTACCAAATACTTTTGTAGTATTTGAGATGGAAACAAACTCATAATTCATATTATGAGAAGAGTTCAAGGAAATTTAACTTGTTTGAATGTGAAAGAATTCACGTTGAATTCTTGGAAATAAATTTTTCATAAAATTTGTGAGTTTCAATTTTGGGCACTTGAAAGTTGAAAGATGCAACACTTCGGTTTATGTGACCAAGTTGTTTGGAGTAAATTGTAACAATATGGCTAGAAATGTTCCCGGGACATGGAATTGATCCATGATAAAGTGCATATTTCCCCAATCAAAATTTGTTGGACAAAGCCATTAAGAGCTTATTTGATTCCAAAATTCACCATCAAGTTTTTAATGCGTTCGATGAATGACGATTATGCCAATTTAGTTTGGACACTTTTTCATTCAAAGTGATGCATGAGAGAATGGAAGTACTTATGATAGTCCTTCATGGACTCTAAGTAACAGTGGTTTGGATAGTAATAAACTATCTAGTGGGAAACTATGAGCAATCATAGGTGTGTAAAACCTATGGCGCGTGGCAAGTGGGGACTTGTGAGTCAAGTCTATCTACGCCAGAATGTTTGCATAGGTTATGATCAAAGTAAGTTGAACATAGTTATGAAAGAGTATATCTCCAATGTGTTGGAGATGAAATTTGGTTAATGCACGTTTAAGGATTGCATTACGAGAAAGCTACAAGCGACAAGGAATTCTAGTTCCTATGATAGTTGTGAAGACATGATAATTTATTTATTTATTATGTATGTGGTTTAGGACTTGATGTTTCCTATGCCACGAGGGCAAGGAAAATGAAGCTAAGATTGATCCTTATAGGAATTTAATAAGCTTGCCAAATGATGGTCACCATTGGAAAACAATTTGACTATGATTATCGACGCGGAGCTAGTTGCCAGAACTGTTTATGGTATATATAGATATATATCATTGGAAAACAATTTGGCATGAGAGCTCAATTGAGATGATCTTATTGAACTTAAAGTCTGGATTACTTATGATATATTTATGAAGTTTATACCATTGGAAAGTAATTAGACAATTGAATTAGAAATTCGTTTGAATTACTTGTGGTATATCATGTTATATAAATGAAATCTCATTGGTAAGTAATTAGATGGGATTTCCATTACTAAATGCATTTGAATTACTTATGACGTTTCAAGTTGCGTTGATCAATACCATTAGTAAGTAATTATATGATATTTCTAATAAAATCTGAATTGTTTGTGGTATGCTAATCGAGTGAGATCTGTCGTCAAAAAAAAAAATCGAGTGAGATCATACCATTGGTAAACAATTAGATACACATAGTGGTTGGCAGGTTCAATAAGTAAAACCATGGAAAATAAATGGGATTATTCCATGATGTTTTGGCAAAGGGTAGAATTGTGGGGGAGAAGAGCTAGCAATTGTTTCGACTGCTATCTCAAGACCCTACAATGGGACGCAAACCTATCCATAAGACAAAAGTGGAAAGGTAAACGAAGTCATACTTGAAAGTATGAAGGTGTCCAATGAGAAAGGGAGAGTCCTTAAACCTTGTGAAGTTAACCTAGTCCAAGGGTATAACTTATGAGTAAACTCTAGCATATATTGACGTTATGTCAGAGAGCTAGAATATTTATTGATGTTGATCCACTCTTCCCAAAGAGATGATTTTGACCATATACATGAATGTATATGAACAACATTCCCAAACCGGAAACGTTGGTTTCAACAACTATGGCGAGATAGTTGAAATGTGGGGGATAAATTGGGGAGAAGTGATGTGGAATGTCGCTTGGGTGATTCCAAAGTGAAGTGATGTGAATACTTACGAGTTTTACGTAACTCCTAAGTTAAGTCATAGATGTCACTACATTTGAAGAGATACTTGTGAAACTCAAGTATTCTAAAGTTAATGAAGTAGAGAGACTTCAACACCGTTGGCATGTGTTATGATTATTGCAAGGCAATAAAATCAAGGCAAACACACATGATGTGTAGTGAATCGAAAAGAGACGAGCCTTTGGTGAATTTTTGCCCAAAGGAACTCACTGGGTGAACCAAAAGCCATAGTCCATTAATGGATAGGCATTATGGTTAACGAGGAGCAGTATCTTGGAAAACGTCCAAGTTAAACTCTAAGACCGGTGAAGTTGAGTAGTTTGGCCCGCAAAGACTGGCGTTAATAAAACGCATTTGTGCACAAAATGGTTATTGCAAGGGCTAGAAGTGTTATGTGAAAATCTCGTTGTAGAAACATAACATTATTGATTGGTTAGTTTCTAGCGAAGTTATCGGAGATGATCAGTTTAGATCAGGTGATAACAAAAGTGGGGCCCATCTAGAAAATAATTTAAGCATCGAAGGAATGGACTCGTGGCCTAGGACAAATCATCATGGCGGTAACTCTACCTAAGTAGGATTGGCAGACCCAACCTCTAGGTTCAAGGAGAAAACAAAGTTGTGAATGATGGTCCGATATTGTCAAATTATTCCATTCTCATGATGAGACAATGTCCAAC